CTCTGCTCTCTCTCGTGCTCGCTCTCTCTCTCTCTTCTCTCTCTCTCTCTCTCTCTCTCTCTGCTCTCTCTCTCTCTCTCTCTCTCTCTCTCTTCTCTCTCTCTCTCTCCTTCTCTCTCTCTCTCTCTCCTTCTCTCCTTCTCTTCTCTCTCTCTCATCAATGTTTCTCTCTCATTTCACCCTCTTTTCTCTCTCTCTCTCTCTCCCACTCACCCCCTTCTCTCTCTCTCTCTCTCTCTCTCTCTCTCTCTCTCTCTCTTCTCTCTCTCTTCTCTCTCATCTCTTCTCTCTTCGCTCTCTCCCCCGCCGCCTTTCTATCTATTTCTTCTGTTCGCTTTCACATACTTTCCGCTCATTCTCTCACCTCTCGTATATAATATATCTCAATTTTCTTATCTCAAAATTTTCCTTCTGGTCTCTTTCCCTCATGCTCCATCCCTCTCTCTTTCTAGCTAATGCTTCCCAACCCTTTTATCCAGCGGGATGTCTTGTTATAAACTACACGTTGATCGTCTAAGTATATTTATCTTATATACTATATATATATATATATATGTTAGTATATATATTATAATTATAATTATATATAATACATATATAATTATAATTATATATAATTATATATTATATAAGAATCATATTTGAAAATAGAAATAGGTGTCACATTTTATTACGCGAGTTTTCGATGAACATATGTCTCTTCGTCAGGCCAACAACAACAGAATTTTGATTACATTATACTTTGATTCTGTTGTGTCCCCTGACGAAGAGACATATTATGTTCTCGAAAGCTCGCGTAATAAAATTTTGACACCTATTTATATTTAAATCTCTTTATAGGTGTCCGTGTGTTTTACTTTTATATATATACGTATATCATTACACCTCCGAGACTCACCCCTGCGGAGCCTTGCTTCAGGCGCACTGGCTAACAAAGCCTTCATTTCGACGCTCGGACCTCGCGAAACAATCACACAATCGATATCGCTTCATATCCTGCCATGTCGTTCCGGGAGCTTTGTTCCGTCGTGAGGGCGCGGCGCGGATTTTTAGCCATGGTAGGTTCGTTTAGCAATTGTTCATATATGTCTATTATATATATATATATATACTATTATATATATATATATATATATATATATTATTGAAATAACTATAAGTAAGATTGATTCAGCTATAATGTTCATTGTATACCAAAGAACTAATTTTTCGCGAACCATCCTCATCGTCTGCGATCACAGTTAACCGTGAACATGCTACATCCCATATTACCGTGGTCGTACAATTTGTCTTATGATTCTGGAATAATATTATATAAGCATAATATTAGGGTTTCTTTTAAGACCTGCATCATCGCATTCGCATGTTTGGTATAAGTTCTGTATAGGAATAGACACTTCGCCGAATTACGCGTGTTATAATAAAACATGTAGTGCAGTGCACGGTTGTTATTCGATGATGCACGGGTTAAAACCAACTCATATAGGAATGAATAATAGCTTTTAAATTGTGTTATAAATATATTATATATATGGTATAATAATATATATATTATATACATAATATATATAGTAACATAGACAGTTAAAGGTCACACACGAACACACCCGTGTAGATAAAAACCAAATGTCAAGCGTATAAGAGATAAGGGTGTTTAAAGGTTAGAGAACAGAAGGAGAGAGAGAGACAGAGTAACGTGCGAGAGAGAGAGGGGGAGAGCATGTTTTCTTTACGAAGAAATCCACGAACTCTGTTCACGTGAGGTGCTGAATGGGCGCAATCACGGACCCCTCACGGCCCGGCGGCTAGACGTTCGCCATCGTGTAACGTCAATACGACTCGCCGCTGGTAACGCACGCTTCCGGGCGCCGCTGCGCACGCCAGCAGAACCAGTCTAGTCGCAGCAAGTAAGACGAATGGGAGCTGACAAAGAAGGTGTGAACTGGTTTGTCGCTCTCCCGCCGACACATGTTGCTCGGACCAGTTGTGCGGCCCGGATTAAGCACGCCTTGTTGTTTGTGTGCCCGCGCTGAGCGGGACCAGTACGTACAGACGCTCGCAGCCCGGCGCATCTGGTAGGCATATCCTCCGCGCGCGCGCACACGCAAAGAACCAGCCAACGCAGCAGCAGCAGAGATCGGCGTAACCCGCGAGGCCAGCGATATCATCAGCATCCGGTGGCCCGTAGGATATTGGGCAGCGCACAGAGAGAGAGAGAGAGAGAGAGCGAGAGCGGTGTCGTCGGCGGGGTTACGGGCGCTGCGGTGGATTACCGGCGGCACTAGGGGCGCACGCGATCATTCACACGTGCGCTACGACGAGCTGTTGATCGCCGATCGCCGAGCATTTAAGCGGCTACTAACACATGCGTGCGTGCGTGCGTGCGTGCGTGTATGTGTAGCTCATCTCTGGTGTTACGTGCGATAGGGCGCGCGTGGCGGCTGAGGTACTGCGACCTCCGGTAATAGCCGACAACTGGATTTTTACGTCGCTAGCGAAATCGTCAACGCGCATTTTACGACGCGCCGATGTGCGCGGCGAGCTTGCAGCAGACCGGCCCGGCAGGCGAACGCTCACAGCTAACCGCCGCGTAGAGTCGTGCCGCATGGAAGCCGGTTATGGGGCCAGTGCTGTATAATGTTCCCGGTCCCGGTCCTGGATATCATCTCCTGTTGCTCATCCTGCTCGCTACGACGTGCAGCTGCCTAGGTAAGAACGTTTATCGGCGCTGCGGAGGTGAATACCTCTGCAAACATCGTGTCAGTATTGGGTCAACCAATTCTTGTAATTATAGAAGGCGTGTTAATATCCGCTCATGGGAGCTAGCCTAGAAGACATGACCCACTGGGGATCTGTAACGACTATCAGATCAGCAATGTGAATATTGTATGAAATCGGTGAATACGTGAGTTGGGAAATCTTACATTAGATAGTCTATCAACTCCGGTGGTCTAACTCACTGTGTTACTACACTCGCGTCTGGGCTCAAGTCTACCTTTCAACGCATGCACATACATTCATCGTCATCATCATCATCATATATCATCAACGTAACCATAGACCTAACCTTAACCCGAACTCAAAACTAACCCTCACCATGTATGTGTTTAAGTCCTAAAAACATTGATCCTAGGTATACGCGTGTTGCCCCCATCGTTCCACCTGGAATGAAAAGGCTACACGAGTAGTGTTAGCTTGTGTAACCGCGATGTGTACTCGCATGATAAGTGCCGGAGATGATAGCTCTCATGATGTAAGCGATTCCACTATTGCTACGGTATAGCTGTGGCAGGTGTGACATGCAGGTGTGCACGTGTTACCTGTTAAACACTTATTACAATCGTGACAATTAACGACCCCGTGTCGGTAAGCGCGGGAACTTGAATACGATATACTTTTTCCCCCGTTTCCGTCGTTTTCCGTTATAATGCATTAATCGTTCACGTCTCCCATTACCCATGTAGGCAAGATGTCGTGTCGCGTCGACCAATGCAGCCTGGCCTACGAGACATCTATGGACAGCGAGCGGGTACCGCGTGGGCCCAGCCTCAGCTACTGCCGCATTCTGCAGACGTACGCCGAGTGCATTCGCGCGACGGCGCGCGGTTGCCGTGGCAACATGTACTACCACACGACGTCGACGCTCGTCGAAGCTTGGAACCTCGAGTACAACTGCTCGTACATAGTCATCAACGCGCCGCCAGAAGCGGTCGGCAGCGACGCTGACGACAGCCGGAGACAGCAGCAGCATCAGCAGCGCGAGTCGTCCGTGTGCGACTACAGGCGTCTGAAGAAGCACAAGGGTCGCACGAACTACGCTTACTGCGGTCTGTTCGGAGACCCGCACCTGCAGACGTTCAGTGGCGAGCAGCAGACGTGTCGCGTGAAGGGGGCGTGGCCTCTGCTGGACAACTCTCATCTCGCCGTGCAGGTGACAAATGACGACGCGTTGCCCGGACTGAGGGCGACGGCAATCACAAAGGTATACAGTAGTATATGCACGCGCGTGTTTTTTTTACGCGCCTGCGGGTGTGTTCTCGTGTTATTTTTAATCATGGAACTAATAATCGCCTACGAGGGACATGCACCAAGGAATCACTGAGGATTCATCTTAATGTAGTCATCTCCAGCTTACTGGATCAATGTGATGCACATGATATATGATCCATGCCATATGATTAATTATAACATTTACTATTCTACTGCATAGTTCTAATGGCGTTTCCCATGATAACGATTGTCATGCCATTCACTATAATTATAATGAGAATCCAATAATGCAGGTTCGAAGGAAGCTAAGGCATCAGTTTGAAAACCTGACCACTTGCAAGAGTCACAGTGAAAAAATATCAATCTTATAAGTGGTTCATACTCGGAATAATAAGAAAATCTAATAACATAAATCTATACTGAGAGCACCACGTACTCTCGTGTCTATAATTCAATAACGTGTTTAATCACTATCACTCCGGTTAAAAGAGTAAATCACAATTCTCTATTCTTGGAAAAATACGTACTGTAGCCACTCGCTGTTGCGCTCACCTCAAGCTATGTATATATATATATACTAATTATATAATATATATATATTTATATATATCAGGAGTAGATAATAGGGAATTCCTATTATCCCTATATAATAGGGAATTCCCTATTCTATTAGGAATTCCCTATTATCTACTCCTGATATATATATATATATATATATTATATATATAATACCTGTAACAGATTTGCTTGATATGTTGCGGTGTCATGAACGAAAACATCGACAACTCGTGGGTTCATAAACACATGGAAGAGTGCATAACAATGCTTCGAGTGTATCCAGTACGAAAATAGAGCTCATAAACTCGACGTTTTGTCTCGCCGACGCGACGCAGAAACGAATTTATCGCTGATGCGGCATTTAATTTCCTCACGCAACCGCTATAAATTTTGAAATTCGGCAGCCAGCGCTAGTGCGCGGTACGTGCACTATGTACATATCATCGCGATTAACGCCGACCACGGCCGCTCGGGCGGGTGCTGCTAATGGCGCGACCCGCTCCGTAAAACACGCACAGTATCTAACGCGCTCATAAACCGAACACGGCGGCGATATTCGGCAGCAAATCAACCGCCGAACTTGGGCACGTAGCGACGGCGTTCAACAGTTCAAGGTATTGTGCGGCAAGTCTATATTTATTGCTGCGCATCGCGCGATGGTTTGATACACGATCATAAGCGCGAGTTGCTACGGCGTCGCAGCGCTTTATAATGAGAGTCGACTGCATCTGCTGATCAAGAATTTCGCTCTTTCGCGTCGCCTATACTTTTAAATGCATTGTGTGCCGCGCGTAGCATACTAGCGCATCATGGTGATAAACACCACGGTATATTCTCTCCGCTTCGTCTTCTCCCGCGCGCGCTCTCGCTGCTCCTCCTCGTCTCTCTCTCTCGTGCCGCCGGGTTCTTGTTTACCTCGAGGACGATTTGTTTCTTGGGCAACAGCCAACAGTAAAAGATGTGGCGCCAGCGCGCTGGTACTTTTTACGGCGTGAGGTGTTGCTGAGAAATACGAGCGTTATACCGAATGTCTGTGGGATGAGGGTATGGAAACCAATGAAGAGTCGACAAATATCGTGACATTATAACGGGCCTTCTTTTTTGGTGCAAGCTAAATATTGTGTGATTCAAAATCGCGAGTCATCCTACTCTCTATATAAACAGGGAGTAAGTACTTCAGTCAGCAAGTTATCGTAAAAATTTTCTAATGGTCTTTTAATTGCCTCTAAATAGCAACTTTAACGTTGTCTAACTAAACCTGTTTTAATTGCAACTTATTCGAATAGGCAGAGTGTATACGAGGCAAAGAAAGGTCAAGCACTATATTAAGACATGCAATTAAAGTAATACTACACGTGCATCGTTGCGCATATATGCACTTTCTACATTACGCATCTGCAATGAGACCGACATGGCAATAGATCAAGTTGGCAGGCGTTTACTAACAGCACCGCGTTGAGTAATGCCTCGTCGACTATAAGCGATGTATAGGTCGATGTGGCCATCGACAAATCGGACGCATACGTCGCCGGAAACGGCGGCTCGTTCGGCGCGGCCGAATTTCGAAATCCCCTTTCTTACGTTTCGCCGTTGCCGTTCCTTCCGTCGCTGTATATATATATATATACTACATATATATATATATATATATATATATATAATCGAGGTAGCGTGCCACGCCGTGCAACCGATACGCCCGTTCACAATGTGCGCAGCTGGTCGGCGGCTCACCCGCCCCCCGACGCCGCTCGCCATCCGCCATCTGTGTAAACACGCTAATACGCGCCTCGTTGTTTTTCCAGCTCACGGTGATTGTCAAGCGACATGGGGTCTGCGCGCAGGAGAAAACCTACCAGGCGCAGGTCGGCAGCGTTCCGAGCAGCTTCGTCGACGGTAGCCTCGCGAGCGGCGTCGACGGAGCCGTGACGGTGGAGACGCGCGCGCCAAACGCCTACGTCGTGATTCGGCTGCGCTACGCCGCCATTACGGTCGTCGTGCAGCGCGTCGGCAGCTACCTGACGTTCGCGATGCGCATGCCCGCCGACATGCTCGCGCAGACGTCGCCGACCGCGCTCGACCTGTGCGTGAACGGATGTCCGGCCGACGAGCGCATACGGGCGTCGGCGGCGGTGCCCGCAGCAACAGCAGCAGCAGCCGGCGGCGGCGTGCTCTCGCGGGAAGATGCGCTGGAGATGTGCAAGCGCTATCGGCTCACGGGCTTTTTCTTCGACTCGTGCGTGTTCGACCTGATGGCGACCGGTGACGTGGACTTCGGCGCCGCCGCGCAGGTGGCGATGAAGTCCGAGCGCAAACTGACGCCGCACCGGAAGCAGAATGTTGAGGTGAAGGCCAACGCGACTGCAGCGCCGGAAGCGACCGCCGGGGCGCCGCCCCGAGGCAATTGTGTGAACTTGCTTGCGGTCACGATGTCCATGATCCTGCTAGCTAGAGGTCTGACGTGAGCCATACGTCGCCTAAAAATATCAGCTGTTTTAGTGCTTAGAACTTGCGGGAGCGCCCGACAGTCTAAACAGATCCGACGCTTACGCTCATTCTAGCATCACAAAGAGACCTCTAGATTCTTCGTATACCTATGAAGTAACATTATAGTTGATCCTACTTTGCACTGAACCTCTATGACAACATACTAGCAATCCTAGCATACCTACTTACGTCTACATGCTGACATAATAAGTAGATTTGACCAAGGACATATGTAGACTTTCCTAATATGGATTAGCCCTAATATATTACTTGTCTTACTTATACATGCATGCCGCCATCGGCGTGGTGAATGAATCTAACCAATTTTAACCGAGCTTTCTATGATAAAATGAATCCAGTAATTATCAGAATTACGTGGAAGATCTAAAGGAATGAGAATTGCTTCCTGTTCTGTAAGGGCTTATATCTATTGCGACCTTTTATATTAGTACACACGTTAGAACGAACTCCCTATCTGATAAAGACATATTTGGTGGTTCCCTTATTCCCTTTGGTATTAACTTATACAGTAAAACCCACGTCTTTGTAACGAACAGCTAGCTCTTTATAAAGTACAGATGGGGGTTCACATTATATTCAGATTTGATTGTATATAGGTTGCACAAAACAGCCCCATATATGTCTATTAGTGACATGCCTGGTACGGAAAAACAATGATTCTTTGGGCTAAATAATAACGAATTGGCTCATGAACGTGTCGCTATATTTAACATAAGTTTAATTTCTTTAAATATAATTCCTGGTAAACACATATGGTAGACCAAAAATTACTGACGTCACCCTCAATTTTTTGTCCGCACAACCCGTAACGAGATTCACATGTTTAACAGCTAACAACAATAACACGTTGCTTCCTGACTTCCTGACGAAACTATTAAATCAGTTCCTATGTTACTCATTGATTCAGTAATGTGCATGAGGCTCTCATAAGTATATCTACGTAGGGCGGTTAAAATTCACGCTGATGCTCGCCTCATGCTCAAACGTTCACCGTTATTATATTATTCTGTTTTCTGCAGAACAGTTTCTCTTCCCAGTACATATCGACACCCCTAACCGCATTATTTCGCGACGCGCTTGGCACTTAAATACATGACGGGTATGAAGCTTTCAGCTGAGTAACTCTTTCTTAATTGAAGTAATCGATTCAACGGTATGACGCCGGTGCGAAGGTGTTTCCTTGTAATTTCAGGAGTCCGGTCAACAACTGGTACGCGAACCGAAGAATGTCCATAGTCTACACTCCCACGACGTTCACAGATCATCGGCTACGGTACACTGAATCGCGCTAACGATCATGTGCACGACGCGATTATCACGGGACGGCCCTTGCACTCCCGTCAATCCCGCTGGAATCTCGTTATATGTCCGTGTTTTCGGCCCTCCAATGCGTTCATTAATAGCGTGCGTTGAGTATGGCAGAGAGATGGCAGCGCACGAAACGTGGTTTTGCGTATGGGGGAATAACGCATTTAAGTGAGAAAAGAATAACCTTTTGCCTAGCTGGATTTTGTGACGGACGATGACGCCCGCGGTGTATTATAAACCGCAGCAAGTTAGCCAGACGAAAATAGTTTTCATATTGTATTCGCTAATACTCGTTGTAGTTAGTTTTTGGGTCTTTGTAGACATGTAATTCGTGAAGGCGTCGGATTGCATTCTGCTAATCAGAAGCACGCCCCCGACGTGGCAGTTGCAAACGAAATCATTATGCGCAGGCTGATAAAACCCGCACCCGATGCTTAATCAGCTAATGGCACACGCAGCTACAGCGCCGTGGGTATGAGGTACGTACAATCCCAGTTACATGCTGATAACCAGCTGGGGACAACTTACGCTTATTTGACTTGGGAGTCGTAAATATTCTTGGTGAACAAACAAGAAAAGCGCGCGTGGACAATAAAGTGGATGTATTTGATATGTTAGCTTTGCAAATAACACTAATGTTAATATATCGCTTGAATGTAGAGTTTGCCTTGGCATCATATATCAAGCTAATGGGTAAAGGAATAGCGGAAGTGATTCGTTTGTTTCCGTAAAGGCTTTAGATGCGGGTATTGGCTAAAAAATAAAAATTCTAGTTTGGGTAAGCTAAGTTTAAGCTTTTTTAAGTAATCTTTTTCTTAAAGTATAATCAGCATATGTTGGCAAACGCCTGTCCGCATGTGATCCAGATACGCCTTGGCTAAATTCGATTATTAAATTAAAGAAAATTAAAATGCTTAAATAGTCTAACCGCTTAGCGAATGATGATGTCTTTTCTAGTTTATTTGTCCCCAGCAGCGTCTAACCCACACGATATATTCAATAAATTTGATAAGGTTTGCTATTGGCAACACTTATAATAAATTGATCTGCCTGTTATACTAAAGGCAACAGGGGAAGGTGGCATTGTGCACATTTCGAGCCAAGGTAAGCACGCGCTGATAAGACTCCCTCAAATCCAACCCATCAATGGCTTTTACTGACAAATAGCCCGCGGCCGCTCTAGAGGACGACAGGCCTATTAACGTCGCCGATGATGACGCAAAGCAACAAGCAGGAGGCATGCATTCTCTGGGCGCGCGCTTGGCGAAATGCCGAAAAGCGGCTAACTAGCAACATCAAAGTACAGCTTCACAGCGAGAAGTGAGATGACAAAGCCCACGAGCCCTCTTGAATGGCGCCATTATGACCTGGACGTACATGCAATACAGCACGGACGCAGAAGCGTCGGTAGAAAGAAAGGGGAGAGCTAAAAAGGGGGTGGAGAGGGAGGGGAAAAGAAAAGCGAGAAATGGAGAGAAAAAAAAGAAATGGTTTAGACGGGTGTCGCAGAATGGGAGACTGTATGCTCACCTCTATCGCATAAAGTTTCAAACGCGGGCCATGCTGGATACTATCCGTGACCTCGACGAAGCAATCGCTTACCATATAAGGCACCGGTGAACCGCCGGCGGCGGCGAACAATATAACTATTAACGGGCCTTATCTGCATGTAAAAGAGGCGCAATTTTCACAATGACTGCCATGAATGCCGAATGACTATAACAGTACACAAAACACGAGCTGAGAGCGACAGGAATAGCACGTTCTCGAGCAGCGAGCCGGTCGCCGGGACCGATGTAGTGAATCCGCGGAAAAACACAGGATAATTGCTAGCTTTGCGCAGCCCATACAAGTGCACTTCGCCAATTGAAAAGCCCGTGAATTTGTCCGTTTGCGCTCGTAAATGGGAAATCCAGCGCGCGCACCCTGGGCCGGATTGGGCGGCGCGTAAACGAGCCCGCTGCCGCGGTGTCAACAGTGTGTACTCGACTGGCCGCGCAACGCACGGCACGGACGCAAACCTGGCCGATAACACATTTTACACTTCGCGTCTAGCCGTAGAGGCATAATAGTAGTGTAGAGCGTTTTGGATGCTAACGACAAATGTAATATCAGATTACGAATAATAATAATAATAATAATGAATAATGAATATACATGGAACGTAAAATATATTCTGCATACTAATTAAATCAAGACGCAAATAAAAATTTAAAAAACGTTGAATATAATTGATCGTGTGTTTTTATTTACCATCCTCTACTACCCTAACTACTTTATGTCCTTTACTACTTTTAATTCCTGATAAATTGTGGCCAAACAGGTCGGTAGGCTGCAATACCTATGCTTCGTAATTGTAAGATATTTGTTTATGGAATTGTTTAGATGTTATATACTCTTGTCTTGTGCGTCGTTAGGAGCCGAGAAAACCGAATTTGAAAAAATTTGCACATTCCCACGCCGTAATTAGTAATGTCAGCTAAGCCGGTAAGCTTTCAACGCAATAATGCCTACTATAGCAAGAATTATAGTTACTGGTATAGTAAGCATTTTGCGCAGAAAACTTTGGACTTCATTCACAACTATATACAGCCACGTACAATGTAATATTAATCATGGCCCTTCGTATTAATTACGTCACGCGAGCACCAATATGCTTTCGCTATGCATCGTCTGCGTGTCTATGAACGAGCACGCCACTTACTCGAAGTGGTCACTTGTCCCACACCCGTGCTTATTCCCATTAACACGCTTTCGGCTAGCCGTTAGTATTAAATGCTGACCACGTGGTTCATGAATTTCGATTCAGTATAGTATTGGGCCGTAGGAAGCGATTTTTAGGCCGACGTAGCGTTAATTTCGAATCACATGCCTGCTTGTCGCCGTGGGTCGCACACGAGTGTCAGAACGAGCTGCGTGCTCGGCGCCGAAAATTCCGGAGCCCCATAATAAAGCGGAGGGGGTGAATGCACGCAGGCAGTGGCAATGGCGCACAGCGGGACGCTCCGTGGGCGCGATGGCGCAGTCCACTAATGCACGGCTGCATTCATAGCGCCCGCCCTCTCACACGGGCGGGCCGGAAAACTGGTAATTGGAACGCTCTCGCGCGAGTGTGGTGTGAAAAGTAACAATCGCAGACAAAAGCCCCTTTACGACATCTACAGTAGGAGTTGGCATGTAACGGCTCGGGATAAAGCTGGGGCTGGAGCACATTTAATGGTGCACACACACACAACCAGTCTGCTGCACTCTTTGTACGTACACGTCTTGCTCTACACATGTTGTCGACGCATGGGAGATAGCGCGGGCCAGTCTGAGCAATTTAACCTCTAAGCACGAGACAACACGACAGCTTCAAGACTGGATGTTGTAACTGCCGAATTGCGGTGCAGTTGCAAGAATCTGTTCTAGAGGTGTTGGGAACAGTATAGCGTGTGCGGTGTGTGTGTGTGGTGTGGTTGTGGGGCTAAGATGCTGGTTTTGCATGTCATTCAGTGACAGAGTGTGTGTACAGTACAAGCATGGATGAAGTAGCGGTGATCAACGTTCACAACCACAGGCGGCGACACATCGGAATATAATATCATGATGTTTTAGCCCAACCTTAACGATATACAGAATAAGTCAGAAAATATGAAGCATGCCTGAATAAACGTTGAAAATCTTTTTTAGCAGTTAAATATTATAAACAGATTAACAAACGTCGGAAAATTCTAAATATATTGATTCATTTGAACGATGGTGAACTTTATTTACACGTTATCAACTATTGAAATAAATTACAATCATAACAGCTTTGGCATATTACAATATAATACACAGTTACCAAATATTTATCCCATTACTTTACAAGATTTACAAGTGATATACTACAATAATTCTAGAATTGTCAAATTCATTGGAGAATTTATATAATCGATATATAATAGTCGTGTATAATCATGTGTCACAGACCAAAACATGATTATATATATAAGATTATATATAT